AGTGAGTCGTGCTCAAGAGTAGGGAGAGAAGACGCAGTGTTCGCGGTGGCAGGCAGCTTCACATGGCTCTCAGAGCCGTCAGGACCATAGCCATTCAGGAAAATAGATGGCAGGACCACTTGTGACACAGCAGTCTCACTTCTGAGCACATGTGCAAGGTGAAGGGGGGCGGTGCACCCCACGGCCACTGCAGTTCTCCCAACAGCCAAACACAGCCATGGCTGGGAGGGAAGGACGTGCATGCACACGACCCCCCATGGCTGGGCGGGAAGGACGTGTGTGCACACGACATCCCACGGCTGGGTGGGAAGAACGTGCGTGCACACATGCTGTACAATGCTTTCTAGCATTAAGGACATAATACTAAGTGAAAGGGTCAGGTACAAGACAAACCCCACCAACTCCCACTCAGGTGTGGCAACTAAAAAGCCAATGTCATAGCAGGAAGGAAGAAGAATGGAATGGTCCCTAGGGCCTTGCAAGAGTAAAGGGAACAGGGAGGACAGAGAGATGTTGGTCAAATCAGTAAGAAAGGAGGAATGAGACTAGTATTCCATGGGTAGTAGGTGGAGTGATGGCTAAGAAGGTTGGATCTGGGATCAGCAGTTAGCGTAATGACTATGTCGCTTAACTCCCATGTAGCTGACTGTGGTTCAAGTCCCGGCCCCGGTGGTTTAAACTCATGCCGGTACGTGTGCGTGTGTGCCCAAGATCCCAAGAGGAGAATGGAGGAGAGGGGATTGTGGCATGGCCATCTCCCCGGGGGGTGATTTCTCACTTTCTGTCTCTCTCGTCTTTCTGGTGAGCACATGCATCCTATAGCAACCCCCCCCCCCAAAAAAAAGGCGGCTGGATCCCATGTGGTCGACTCTGCATCCAAGTCCCAGATCCATCAACTTGAGGACCACGTGGGGTGCACCTGTGGAAAATGTAGAAGTGGTGTGGCTGTTCCGGGGGCGACATGCTTTCTCCCTCTGTCTTTCTCTCTGACTCTGTGTCTCTGTCTGTCTCTAGCAAGCACATGTACCCTATAGCAAATTTAAAATAAATAAGTAAGCCTAAACAAACAAACAAGAAGGACTAGCATTCCATGGCGCGGCAGGGCGACGGAGGCTCGCAGTGACACCATGCACTGCGTATTCACAATTGCCAGGAGAGGGCTGGGACTGCTCCCTAAGCAGGAAGTGATAGCCTCTGAGGTGATGAGACGCCGCCGGGTCATCTAGAAAGTCATCGCATGTTCCGTGACCCTGCTATGATCATTACATATTGTATTCATGTAGAAAAGTTGCACTGTGCCCTGTATACATGGTTATTACGTGCCAGTTAGGATTCAGAAAAAACCTAGTTTGTATTAGGAATAAGAAGAGGAGAAAACATTCTATCTATCTGTATTGACATTTTCATTACCACAACACTACTAACAGCTACTATTTATGGAGCACTTCTGTAAAGCTAACATTTTATATACATGATGCAATTCACTTCCAAAGCAGCCCAATAATGTAACTATTATTCCCACTAACTGTAGAATGCTGAAGAGACTTGACCAAGGTAAATAGCATATGATGAAACCAGAATTCAAACCCAAGTCTTTTATTTTAACTGCACTTCAAATTTTGGTATCTTATTTTTTTTAAACATTCAATCACTATGCATCATTTGGCTTGTAAAGAGAATTTACCCAACTCAGACCAGTCTAGTTGAGAATATTATACACGTCATCATCAACAGGTAATAAACCATTTCTGTGTCCCACAATGTCTTGCCTCTCTATTTTTTCCAATTTCCTTCCCTATCCTCTTCCCCTCTTCCGCCCTCCTTCCACACTGTCTCCAGTGTCCATAACTATTCTCAGTGCTTTTATGCCCTCCTATCTTTCAGAATCTACCATAGAGACTGTTGGTATATATGAAGTGGAGACATACAATGTCTCTCCTTCATAGCCTGACTTGCTTCACTCAGCAGTAAATCTTCCATATTCAACCACCTTCTATCAAATGTCAGGGTCTTCTTGTTTTCCATGGCTAAATAGTATTCCAGGGAGTACATGCTCAGTGCTTTTATGTCCTCCTATCTTTCAGAATCTACCATAGAGACTGTTGGTATATATGAAGTGGAGACATACAATGTCTCTCCTTCATAGCCTGACTTGCTTCACTCAGCAGTAAATCTTCCATATTCAACCACCTTCTATCAAATGTCAGGGTCTTCTTGTTTTCCATGGCTAAATAGTATTCCAGGGAGTACATGTGCCACACTTTTTCAATCTATTCATCTGTTTGTGGACATTTGGGTTGGTTCCGTGTCTTAGCAATAGTGAATAATGCTGCAATGGTCATAGAAGTGCAAGCGCTTTTCCGACAGCATTCTCCTATCCTTTGGGTAGATACCCAGAAGTGGTATTGCTGGTAGTTCATATGGTAGTTCTATTTGTAGACCTTTGAGGAACCTCCATATTGTTCTCCACAGTAGCTGGACCAACTTACATTCCCACTAACAGTGTAGAGAGTTCCCCTTTCACCACATCCCGCCACAACTTACAATTTTTTTTTTTTTTTTTTAAATCTTCACCATTCTGACAGGGGTGAGGAGCTATCTCATTGTGAACCTAGATCTGACTAAGACCTGTGGTCGTTTCTCTTTTCGAACCACTACCACTGACACACAAACAATGCAGCACCAGCCCATCGGTGTACATTCTGATTTAATGGATCTAAGACTACAAATAATAAAAAATGTATCTAAGAGAATCCTAGATCTTAATTTTTCTTTTTTTTTTAAAGAATTATTTTAGTTTTATTTATTCATTCATTTATATTAATTTGACCAGAGAGAGAGAAATAGAGAAAGCCAGCCACCAGGTCTGGGATTTGAAACGTGGTTGGCCATATGGGAGTGTCCAGTGCCTTAACTACCACACTACTAGCTGGCCTCCCTAGATCTTAATTTTTCTGAAGAATACAATTTCCCTGAGTAATCTGCTTAATTATCCTATTAGGCTGGTCACTCTTTAGTCACTTGGGAAAATTATTTAAGACTGCACAGGGGGTCAGCAGGTGGCACAGTGGTTAAGGCACTGAACTCCCACATGGCCAATAGCAGTTTGAGTCCTAGACCTGACAGCTTGCTTTCTCGCTTTGGGACTAGCAGATGGTGTAATGGTTACATCACTGGACGCCCACACAGTCAACCGTAGTTCAAGTCCTAGACCCAGCAGCTTAAAACTCACACTGGGCATGTGCATGCATGCCCAAAATTCCGAGAGGAAAATGGAGGAGAAGGGACTGCAGTGTGGCCATTCCCAGGAGCAATGATTTCTCGCTTTCTGTCTCTCCAGCAAGCACATGTGCCCTATAGCAAAAAATATCTCTTGGGGGAAAAAAAAAAAAAGACTGCACGGGACTTCATAATCTTTTCTCCACCAAGTTAAATACAACTGCCGAATTTGGATCCCAAAGACTTGCACAGTCACAAATAAATGTACCTGACTGAAGTTCAAATGCTGCTGCTGCAATGCTGATGTCAATTTTTGCTGACGGTCACCCACTGCAGAAGGCTGGTTTACTCTTCCAGGGGCAGAGCGCCCTTTCATCGACGGCTGGCACAGAGAGTCTGGCAACGAGGAAGACAGTGTTAGCAAGCTGGGCTTCCTCCTTCCCGCATACCAATTAGAAATCTCTTCAGATATCTCACACATCACTGGTCTGACAATATTAAAATTAAAAAGGAAAGCAAGTGCGTGGATTCCAAGCACTGGATGACATTAAGAGATTTCTTCTGTGCAATGGACACAGCGGAGTGGAGATGGCATCAGTCAGAGATGATGCCTATAATCCTGTTCTTGGCTATCCCTAAGACCTACCACAGGCAATCAGAAAACGGGGAGCTCGGGTCACCTGCGTTTGCCATGGGCTCGTGGGCATCCAGTCCATGTCCTAGCCCCACTGGTGGCACCACGACAGAGCAGACCGCAGGCTTGGCTTCTGGGTCAACAGAGCTAGCTAGCTCTGTGTCTGGATGAGTGTCCTCCACAAAACTGCTCTCTGCAAATGGACTGCCATGGCCCGAAGAGTCGGATGTCGGAGAGCCATCCACGGTGTCACGGCCGCTTTCCTGCTCTTCGTCTGACATGCTGCAACAGGAAAGCCTGGTTACCAGTGCTGCTCCTCCAGTAGAGCAGATGCTAAGCAATGACCGGCTTGCAAACCAACAAGAATCTAACTGGGGAATATAATTACACCTTTTTCCTTCTCCAGGAGTGTTTTTCCATAGAATTTCTTCACCCTTAATTTAACCATCTAATCAGACTGCCAGGCCTAACTCTGTCCTGCTTCAGAAACCTCCTTCTGGCACTTACATTCTTCGCCTTTCCTTTCCACTCGATCCCTAGAAGTTCACAAAGCCTCTCTGCATGAACCCAAGATGGGACAAAAGCAGCACCACCCAGGATAACCTAATGAGACACGGCGACATATGAACACGTGGCCTGGGGGTTTTAAATCTCAGACATGCCTTTCACACTGACCCAGGTCCTTCCAACCACTCAGCTACCTGAGCAGTCTTTGCCACCTTTCTGACGGCTTCCCAGTGTCCACACTTCTCTTCCTGAGCCTCTCCCAGCCCTGACGGTTTCCCTCCCCCGGGATGTCTACAACATTCACTGTGTTTTAATCATTCATTTCACACTTGATTCGAAGCATCTTTTTTTCCCCTTTTTTATTTTAATTTGCCAGAGGGCACATGCGCTTGCCAGAGAGAGAGGAGAGAGGCAGACAGTGAGACAGTATCCCTCATAGGAGATGGTCACATACTGCAATCTCTTCTCCTCTACTGCTTTCTCCTCTTGGGATTTTTTTTCTTTTTGAAAACACACACACATGGGGCCAGCATGCTCCTCAAGCTGCCGGGCTCGGGACTGGAAATATATAGTAGGCCATGAAGGATCCAGTTGCCTTAACCTCCACGCCATTGGCTGGTCCTAAAGCATTTCTTTTAATATTTACTATTTTTATTTATCTGTTACATACATATATATACATATATATATGTACCTTTTATCTGTCTATGTACATTTGCATACAGGTATGTATATAACATGTAAATACCAACTTCCAAACCACATTATAAGCAACTAGTAACAGAAGGATGTAAGACTGAGTCCTGTCTTCAGAGTTTTGGCTCTAAGTGTTCAATACCATTATCTCCTAAGAAAAAAAGGGAAGACAAATATATGAAGACTTAAAGATTGTATAGCCACTAAAATGAAAGAATTCAGCCCAGCCACTGCAGTGCAGTGGTAATGCTGGCACCCTGCAGCACTGCAGGCTGTGTGCAGAAGGCGGTTTGGATCCTGGGTTGGCAAGTACACTGTGGGTGTGTGGCACCCAGGGCCCAGCGAGCCGGAGGCTAGGGGAGGGGACCGTGGTGGACGACACCCAATCGAGGGAACTCTCTCAAAAATCCCTCATGTGCAAGCATTTGGGGGAAGATCCTAGAAGCTACGATGAAATATGTCTCACGGAAATGTCTGTGTTAGTCCCACATGGCAGCACCCACAAGGTTAGGAGGCCCTTGCACTGTTGCGACGCACAGCATTTTTAGAAGGCCAGGAAAGAAAATATGGCAGAAGCCAGGCAGGTCAGCTACTCTGGGAGAGAAGTGACAGTGGACCCACTACAGCAAGCAGGCCAAGCAGTCTTCACTGCACAAAACATTCCTTTTTTTATTTGCTATATAGTTTATGCTTTTTTCCAAATTTAAGTTACAATAGTAGTTTGTGGAGCTGAAGTTGAGGATGTGACTTTGACTCTTTCAAAAATAGAAACTTCTTTAAAAACCAATTATTAGAACCTCAATTTTTCATTTAAGCTGTTCTGTAACAAGGAAGAAAATGACTTATACAAATCTGAGTTTAAAAAAAGTGATCTAGTTCCAAGACTGTGTCCACTGTGGTAACTGGCAGATACTTGTTAATTCAAAAACAAAAAGAAATCACAGACTTCTTAGACTTGATGTACACTACCACCAAAATCCTTTTACCTGTGCGGCCTCTTACACGGGGACGGGCTGGACTGCCCGGAAGAGCTGGAGCTCAGGGTACTGTCGGGGCTACTGAGTGAGCATGGCCGACCGGTGCTCAAAGTGCTCTGGCAAGCTTCGCAGTCCAGACTGCCTGGACATCTGGTGCAAGAGGGAAGGAAGGGACCAGCAGTTAGCATAATGGCTATGTCGCTGGACTCCCACGTAGTCGACCGCAGTTCGCGTCCCGGACCCGGTGGCTTAAACTCATGCTGGGCGCGTGTGCATGCGTGCCCAAGATCCCGAGAGGAGAATGGAGGAGAAGGGATTGTGGCGTGGCCATCCCCTCTGGGAGGTGACTTCTTGCTTTCTGTCTCTCTGTCTGGTGAGCACACGTGCCCTATAGCAAA